GCAACTAAAACCAACAAGCATACACGTAAAAGGAGCTTTCTGGTCGTCATGCTTCCGGGTACACCATTTTGGAGTAATCCCGAAGGCAAAAACCCAAAGGCGCCCCTTATTTGCTCGGATCTGAAAGTTACCTAGCTAGGTGAGCCAAAAACGGCGCCGGAATCTTGTCGGGAATTCGCCATTCTCGCTCTCCTCTGTTCCTCCTAAAAACCTAGAAGAAAATTTTGAAAATTTTCTGTTCCCTCTCTCTGAATCCCCCGATTTATAGGCCTAGAGAAAAATAAAACAAATCAAAACCCTTAAATTCTACCCACCCTCGGATCTATCTCTCTCTTCTTTCCCACCGTAGATCACAAGAAGTCGGATTTGACCATCCTCCTCTCTCCGACAGAACCTACTGTTTGCAGGTGAAAGCAAAGGACGGGAATCTGTCATCCGCGAGGGCGCCTGATGACTGGGGGCCACAGGGTCGATATTTGGATGGACAGCGATTGAGGAAGAAGGCTGAAAATAGGGGACCATCCTCCTTTTTATTATTATATATATCTTATTCTTTTCGCCCTCTTTAGCCAGAAAACGGCGCCGTTTTAAAATTTGCTGCCCTTTAGTCCTTAGCTTTTTTTTTTCTTGCCACTTCAGTCGTTTTATTTAAATCTCATTACAATTGGGTCCCTACAAAACAAAGCTTGTATTTTAAATGTTTCCAATTGAGTACAAAATGACATTAATTTGATTTAATCTGGATTTCTTTTTAAACAAAATTTCCGAATTAATTTCCCACATCAAGTAAAAGCTCAAATATTTAAATTTTCATTTAAAACCTAAGAATTTATTGGAAATTAATATTTAAAAAAATTGAGATTTTGGCAAAAATATTAAAAGAGCTAGAAAAAATTTGGTTATAACAGTTTATATATGTATATTTTAGTTTCTAAACTTTTAAATTGAGAGATTAAAAATGTATATATCAAAACAAATTTAACAAATTAATTAACAGAATAACTAAAAAGAATAATTTTTTATTAAAGTTATTAATACCGTACCAATATGTATATCAATTTTGCTATTAAAATATATGTAAAAGATATCAAAATTTTTCATGTATTATTTT